TGAGATCGCCAGGTGTTGAGATGGATTAAAAAAAAAAAAACTTTTGTGCCAGGCAGAATGAAATTCACCACTACAGTTCTGCAATACTTTCCTGTTGTTGTTTTTAATTAAACTAATCTCCATGCAGATAGAAAATGCTAGTGATATTCCCCCTTTTTTTAATTTGCAGGATCTTTTTATATGGGGAAACATCCAGAAATATCCATCGCTTTTTGGATCTGGTTGCTACTCCTAATATCTTACTCATTTTCCACTTTTGGTTCTGTGCAGAGGCTCCTCATCCTTATTTACATAGTATTGGTTGTGCATACAGTAGTTACATAGAATTTCATTTGAGCAAATGCTTGGGGTTCTTCGTGTGTTCTCATGTTCTCTGAGAGGGTGAAATTTTGGGGGAGAGCCTACAGCCAATTTTGAGAGTGCTCTGCACACCCAAGCTTGCTGCGAGCTTGTGGTGGGAAAATCAGCAAGTTTGGAGAGAAGGCTAAATGTAGCCATGTGTAGCCAACCACATCAACTCTTAATGTAGCCAACCACATCAGTTCTGTTGTTTTTATTGAGTTATTTATGATTTACTCTTATACGTGAGAGTCATCATCAAAGTCATTTATCAGTTTAGGTGGTATGTTATTACAAAATTTGTAATAACTGCACTAGCCAATGTAACATCAGGTTTTGAAAGCGAATCCAAGCTGTAGCAATGGTGGGGGGTGGGACATCAAAGCAATTATAGACCGGTTTAACTGAATGTATATTCTGTATAAATTAATAGCAGCTTTATTACAGCTATTGTTATCAATCACACAGAAGAACAAGTGTTGTGAAAAAATAAATCAACATTACAGCTTCAGCAAATGTAACATATTAGCCTATTAAAATTCTTGGGGAATTCAAGGAAGCAGGTGGATAGATCTGGTAGCCGTCATTTATTTAAATGCTCAAAGCCTTCTGACAGTTTCTCACTAAGTCTCCTGAGTAAACTTGCTCACCATATCAGTCTTTATGATTCTAGGAAAAGAACAGTAAATAGAGAGCATAAATGAGTGAACTTTTCTTGTAATTGAGGGAATAAATAAATAGCTATGTTGCTGAACAGTCAGTTCTGGGAGCAGTATTTTTTTAATTGGTTTATAAATGATCTAGAGCAAGGAGTAGCCATCAAGAACAAGGGATAGCCTATTTAGAGTGAAGAGTAGCCCATCCAGAGCAAGGGATAGCCTATTTAGAGCAAAGGGTAGCCCATTTAGAGTGAGGGAGAGCCTTGATATCATCATGTCCTAGGCGGTTAGCTTGGTGCTCATTAAGCTTCCCGCCCTGCATGTTCTTTTATAATATTCTATTTGTAATGGTAGTAATAGTATTAGCAGTAGTAATAACAATAACTTATTAAGTGAAGCAACAGCCTACAGTATCATACTTATTTTTAGCAATGCTGTCTTTACCCACTAGGAAGGCAAGGGTTGCTGTTTTTTAATTCCAGTGAATTGAGGCAGACTTCTTATTCTGTGATAAGAATTTGTTTTGAATCTGGAAATGAAAGGAAGCCATCCGGGTGATTTTTAGCAATTGAGGTGTAAGGGAGCCTGAGATGAGCACAAAAAGATCTTTGCAGGACTGAGATTTCACCTCCCTTTCCTCTTGTCTCATTCCTTACAGAGATGCTCTTTACTTGGGGGGGGGGGTAGCAAATTGATTTAGCTGCTGTTTTGGATGCACGTGTCCTATTTTAATCAAATCAGCATCCCATCTGTGTGTGGAATCAAACAGATAATTGATCTGGCACACCTGCCCCCCCAAATGCCTCCAAGTAAAACATGAGAATACCATTTAAGATGCATTAGAAGGATAGAGTTCTTTTAAAGTTTAGGCAACACCCTTCCCCCTCTGACTGGCTTTGCCTGTCCTGAAAGAAAACAATGGCTTATGTGTGCTGGCAGGATGTTGTTCAGAGAAAATATTTACTCATTTTACAGGAGGAAAGGTAAAACAGGTCTTTAAAACAACCGCGTAAGAGCTGCTTGACTCACGGGTAGGTTCTTGTCAGCCAGGGCTGTTTAAGTCAATGCCCACAGCTCTGTTGTTTGTGAAGCTGCTGAGATTGAGGTTATACCCCATCTGTTAGTTGACACCGACGGAGCGCCCCTGGCGAATTCCTCCCCGTTGCGTTCTTAAGACCCCCTCCTTCCCTCCCTTTCCTGTCTCCATTTGTTGCTCTTCCCCACCCTGTCATTTGCCTGGTTGAGATGTTACTTTCTTGACAAGCTTTCCTTGTTTCTGGCTTGTTTGCTGGCTTGGCTGGGAGTGGGTATGGAGAATGCATCCCCCCTCCCCAAAAGGCTCGCCTGCCTTGCATTCTCTTCTCCAACCTCTCAATTATTTCCCCCTCACAATTAACATTCTCCTAACTTGACACATCTTCCCCTCATTTTGGCTCTGCTGTCCCCCGCCCCCTCCATCTTCCTATTAATTCCAGACATTAATATTTTCTTTCACGCAAGGACCGCTGTTCACCCGTGAAACAGTTTGAACATTAGGTAGCTGTCAAGATGCCCAGGGATTACCCAGCATGCTTTGCCCCCGTAAGTGACACCACCGAGGACCACTTCTGAGATGTTTATTTGGAGAGCGAGTTGACAGGCATGAAGACTTGATCCCCGGGAACCAATCTCATTTAATTAAAATACTCTTTCATTATATTTCGCCTTTCCCCTTCTAGCCCAAAAAGAAAAGGAAAGTCTCATTTTTGCTTGGAGATCATTGTTTTACGAGGAGGGGGGAGGTTATTCTGGCAGCCGAGCAGTGTTGATGTTGACGTGAGGTTTTTCTCTCTTTAGGAGCAGAAATGGTTTGGGGATTACTTTGGTCCATCTTCTCCTTTCTGAAGTTGAGGTTTGTTGCACGCGGACCTCTTGTTTCCCTTCAACACGCCAACCCACAGAAGACAACAACCGATGCATTATGCACGGAGGCCACTTAATTTTGCATTGATTTTTATTGCAAGCGTTGTGACAGTTCTTAGGATGTTGGCCCCCTTTAAAATGGCTGGCATCTTCTCTTCATCACACTGATCCGGGCAGCCTGTTTCTGTTCCCTTTCTCTCTTTTTTCTTGGACTTTCTATCTTCTATCGCTTTTGTTTCAGAAAGGAGGGAAGCATTCAGAATATTTCACAGAAATTAATGAAGGGGTACCGGTCGCCTCTGATCCTCTTGTTCCTGGCTACCCCCAAAACTGTCTGAAAACTTGCTGCTCAGTCTTCATCCAGTCATTTTTGCTCTTCTGCACAGTCCCCAAAATTAGGCTGTATTTATTGATTTATTGCCTAATGTTGAGTGCGCGGTGTGTGTGATGTTTTGAAGAGACTAATCCACAGGGCACAAAATTGGGCTTATGTATTTATTAATTACATGATTTATACCGCTACCCATTTCGTAGCAGTGACTCTGGGAGATTAAAACCAACAGTTAGAAACAATGACTCATGACATCTGAGGTGAACAATTCGTCCCAATCAGAAAACCACATGAACAGCAATGCTTACCTACCCTGACCTTCTGGCCCAAATGCCTGGTGGAATAGCCAGATCTTCAGAGCTTTATGAAAGCCTAACAGGGTTGGGGCCATCTGAATCTCTGGGGCGCCATCCAAATCTTTGGGGGGATGCTACTATAGAGAAAGCACAACTCTGAGGTCCAACAAGATGGCCTTGTTTGATGGAAGGAACCCAGAGCATGCTCCCCCTGTTAGACCTGGTGGGGTAGGCAGAAATAATAGGAGACAGGCGGCCCAGAAATAAATTCAATAAAATATAAATTACGTACACGGGGGTCATGTTTTGAAAAGACTAATTTACAAGTCATCATCTCAGTTGACCGGGGGGGTTGGTGGGGAGAGAGGGAGACATAAGAGTTTTCCCAGTTGTTGATCCAAGGTGCTGTGTTGCTTCTTATTGCTTCACACGTTTATTTTAATTCAGTGGCATCCGACTTGACTGATCCTGGGGCTGGACTTAGTGGTGTCAGATGGGGGTCTACCAGGAAATCTTAAAGCCAAAGGCTGGACTGGAGTTTTTTTGAAAAAATCCCCCAAATAGGCAGCAGCAATTTACAAACTATTGTAGCCATGCAAAGCTGATGTCTGTATCTATGAAGTCATCAGAATTTGAGTCCACTCAGAGACTTCATTTGTTGGATAGTAAATGTAGGCTATAAATATAATTTTATTTATGCTTACAAGCTTCGATTGGTAGGCTATCTATTGTAGGAGGTGTTTTATTATTGAAAAGCTTTTGCATTTTTCAGGTAGAAACATTGAGAAATACTTCCTCAGTGTGATTCCAGGGGTAACATTGCTATTATTATTTATTAATTAAATTTGTACACTGCCCAGCTCCCTACAGCAATGGGCTAAGTTAACACAATCTTTATTATGCTTTGCAATTAAGGTACAAGTGATCCATATGTGAAGTTTAAGCTGAATGGGAAAACCCTGTATAAAAGCAAAGTGGTCTATAAGAACTTGAATCCAGTTTGGGATGAAACTGTCGTGCTTCCAATACAATCTTTGGATCAGAAACTCTGGGTGAAGGTAAGCCATTGATCAGACCGTACCAAATGTTGCCATATGTGATGTTTTCCCTCCAAGCCGGCTTTGCTGTGTTAACAAGAGGAGGGAGATTTCTGTGAGAATTCATCCATGCATTCTTAATTTTGGTTTGAGGAAAGGTTGTTACCTGAAGGAATCTTTCAAACCTAGGTAATTCTCTTTGGGGATGTTTACAGCCAGATGGCATGCTCGAGTGTAAGCTATATGACTCCCTTAACTTCCTTTAAGGATGTCATCAAAATTTTGCAAGTTCCCTCTTTCTGTCTTCCAAAGCAAAACCTATTGCGTTCAATTTCTCTCCATACAGAAAAGTCTACCGAATAGCTCAATTCTGTACCTATATTTTCCACGTGTTGAACCCCATATACTGTATCATGACTTCTCAGTAGGCCTCCTGAGGACAAAAGAAAGAAAGGGACCTGCAGCCACTCATGCAGGGGTGCAACAGTATACTATGAACCAACCAGCAGTTCCAAAACATGATCTATGATGAAATAAAAACTACATACGTACATGGTTGGAAAGCATCATTCTTTGATATTGCCAATGCAGTCTTTCAGGAATACAGAACATACCATGTGCCTGGAAAAAGATGTTCAGGCTTGATTTTTGGCACATCCAGATAAAGTGGGCAAAACTCTTTCTTAAACTCCACACCATACTGTAGCTAGATGGATCAGCAATCAGAACGATACAGCAGTTTCCGATATTGTTCACTTTCGTTTGTACACAATTTCTTCCCATAGCTAATGTGACTTTAGGCTACCGGTTAGGAGCCCTGGGTAAGAGTAATAATAATAATTTATTACACTTGTATGCTGCTTGACTCTCAGTGACTCTGGGGGGCTCACAACCATCAAACGAAGAAATGACAATAAAACATAAAAGAAAAAAGAAAAAAGAAAAAAAATGATGGCAAGCACTACAAGGTAATGGTCTGTAGCTAAAATTCGGATAAAGTAATTGGGTTTTTGGGCTTAGTGATGGCCAGAGAAGTTCTGCATTTCTGCCCACCTCTCTCTAATGAGAGAGAATCTATTTTCCTAATTTGTTTCAGAGGAGAAGAGAATTGGGGTGCAATTCGTCTGGGCAGAGGGGTAGTGATGAAGGGGCCAAGAGATATTTGTGAATGGTGTATTGTTCTTGATATTGTTCTTTCTCCAGTGGTTGGTAGACTCCCTGATGTAGCGCTGGTAGTTTTACCAGAAGATTGGCGAGGAGGAATTGGACAGTGGTGTTTCCCTTAAGTGCATGATACATAGAACTTTATATTCCCATGGTTGAGTATGTAATAGAGAATTAAGCAATTTATTTCAGTTACTAAAGAGTTATATTTGGATCATGCTTTTTTTGCCCTATCCTTGGTGGGACACCTCTGTAGGGTAGGATGATCTTGTCATCTTCAAGCCCAAAACCTTGGGAAGCAGATACTCCATAACCTTGAGATGGTCTCATCAATCTCTGGCAGAAACAAATCCTCCCTAACCTTGATGGTTTCATTTTTCGGCAAGACTAGAGGAAGCATTCCAAGCACAAGATAAGATAGACTTGTCCTTGGTAAACTCCAGTAAGATGAGACATGGGAAACAGGTGTGAGTAATCGTGGTTCAGAGCCTATATAATAAGTCTTCCATGAAGTGGGTGTTGCATATTCGGTGGCTTTGAAGGGGTCTACCCACCATCATCTCTTTTGGGGTTTCCTGGCTGGCTGAAGGGGCTTAAGATCGTTCTTTCTTTGCCATCTTGTATTCTTGCGTTCTTGAATATTCATGTTATGTTATTTTCTTACACTGTCTTGGATTTATTCTTGGAATTATACTGCCTTAAGTACTCCTACTGGGGTGGTCATTGCTTCTGAATCCAAAAGAATCTGTGACCCAGTCCTGCTAAGCTGGAGACAAAACAGCTTCCTATCGTGGCTTCCCATACTTCCATTCGGTGTCAAGGGAAGATCTCAGGTGGGACCTCCTTGCAAAGGTCTTTTTCAATAGCAGTGTACTGTCCCACCAGTCGTGGTGGTGGGCCCTATCCTTGAGAGCTGGTTGAATAATATCTCTTCTCCACAGAGAACCTCAAAGAAAACTTCTTGCTTTCTCTAACTCCAAATTAGGTGGAGAAATTCAGAAGACTTTCTAGGCCTGTTTGTTAGGACTGGCCTGCCTGAAGGAGACAAACATGGCATTTGTCACTTAGAACCAGGGAAACCATAAACTTCGTGACTTTTTTAAAGTACTTCTCTTCCCAAAACACGCTCATATTTAGTTTCTGAACTATAGTTGTAAAAATAAATAAGAAGTAGCTTGCAGGGGGAGGCAAAACCCCTCTTGGTTTGTAATTGATAAAGGTTGACAATTGGAAAGGGGAACAAGCAAGATATTGGCTTCCTTGGGGAAATATGGTACATATTTTTGAAAACAGTTCAATCAGAGTTAGCAACAACAATAGCCACAAAAACCAAGCACATGAATTGTGGAGACTGAGAGTTTATTCCTTTTTATGCTGTATTAAAATTTGGTTCAGTTTCATTGGCAAACATTGATCTAAAAAAGAACTTGGCTTTTCTGTCTGACAGGCAGAAATTATTTACAGATAATCAGATCTGTATTTTTTTCCTTCTCCTTCTCTTCTCCCATTCCATATGCATCAGGTATATGATCGAGACTTGACTTCTTCTGATTTTATGGGTTCAGCAGTTCTAATGCTTCACAAACTGGAACTGAACAGGTAATCTAACATTTATATTTGTCTTTCAAAAACCAGTTATCCATTACAGAGCACTTAAGGTGCGCGGCACTGTAGCATTCTGTATGACTTGATGAATATTGGAGTCTTTTTCAGTGTTTTGCTTTTAAATTAAACATGGACTGTTCACATTTCTACCTTCCTGAATACTATGAAGGCAGTTTTGCTTCTAGATGTGCTCAGTGCAGTAATGTCTTTCCCATGGGATCCTTGAAACAGTAGCTGGAAACAGAGAAAGGAATGATGATGATGATGATGATGATGATGATGATGATGTGATGGATTAGATTAATTGCAAGACAATTCAGAATAAAATGTTCTGGATAATTTTTGCTTCTTAATTCACATTAGCTCCTGAAATTAATATATGCATCTGTATGTATGTGTGGGTTGATGTCTGTGTCTATCTTTTTCTCTGTCTGTATCTCTGTATATAACTATATCTGTCTACAAGGCATTAGCAATAATAAATTATGGTAAAGGTATAGAACATTGGAGGGGACCAAATAATTGTTAAGCAGCGATGGTGCCTGTAATCTTTAGCTTAATCTATCCCATTTCAGCTGTGGTTGCCATTTTTGGTGGCAATTAATTTTAGGTAAAACTAAAAACATTCTGTTTCAAAAAGTCAAGGAACTCCTGTTCCATTGGGTGAAAAATAATTTGCTTTAGAAATTTGTTTGAAAGGAGACGATCATCTAGATGAAATGCCCATAGATAGAGTGCTATGTTCTTTCACTTATTTTATGACAAGGTGGCCAAGGAATGTATGTGAATGTCTTGTCTTTCAATCTTTCCCTCCCCCCCCATTTAATATGGGGGAGACCTCTCAGGAAGGAACTCCTCCCAGAGAGCTTTTCCAGCAGTGGTACTTCTGTTGCTACTAAGTGGTAGAAATTGTTGATGAATTTCTCCTTTCCCCTGGAGAAAGAACAATCTTCCACCCATTGTTTCTGCCCCCACATTTGGAGGAACCCCCCCCCCTGTAAAGTCTGCTTGTGCTTGGCTCCAGTTGTTAGCTGAGTGTAATTTCCTTTTCTGGCATCCAGGACTACTGAGAGGATCCTAAAACTGGAAGACCCGAACAGCTTGGAGGATGACATGGGTGTGATTGTGCTGAATTTGAGACTTGTGGTGAAACAGGGAGATATTAAAAGAAATGTAAGTAGTCCAAGGAACCATTCTGATTTTCCTTGTGGGAAGGACAGATGGGCACAGGGCTGGCATCTGTGGTTGTGTGTGGTGGTGCCAGGTGAAGTATTCATAGTATACCTATTGGGATCCATTAAGGGAAGGCTTTAAGTACAGCGATGGAGGATATTTAAGGTTCTCCAGGTAGGCCAAAGGGGGAGGGGGGAGCAAAAAGCTTTGCTTAAAACTTTTAAAAGCCACTGTTTGTCAGTCTAAATGAAAGATAAAAGGCTCTCCTGTTGAGCTCATCCTCTATTAATTAGGTGGATGTGTCCATGTTGTTTTGTTGGTAACAATGCAGAAGAGGTTTGCCACTGCCTTCTTCCAGGAAAGAGAAGAGAAGGACAGAAGAGCAGGTGGCAATCCCATACGGATCAGGACTGGCTCCTTAGAGTTTCCTAGAGTTCGATTTCAAATCAAATCTAACTTAATAACTGTCATCCATTTGACATTAGCAGTTAACAAAAACATGTTTATGCCAAATGCCATCATTTTTACAGTTAGGGGATATATCGGGGGGTGGGGTGTCTACAGTTTTCATCCTCTTTCTGTCTTCATGTTGATCCCCTAAAGTAAGACTCAACTAAGCAACTGTGCTCAGCCCAAGATCACTTACAGTAAGAAGATTCACTGCTAATGAGGGGTCTGAACCCATTTCTCCCTAGTCATTCCTGGCCCAATGTTCTAACCACTATATTGAATAACCATGATATCATGTTGCCTCTATACAATTCACCTTTATCTCCATAGTAGTTCTCAAGATTTAGAGAAGAAGAAAGTTAGATGCCTGCAGAGTAAAGGTAGAATCTCCTCTGAGTTCAACTTGCCCTCCTAGTGACTTCATGAACACATCTGCATAGTTTTCTTGGCAACAATATGAAAGTCATGTGTCATTTTCTTCCACAGCTTAATTTCAACTTCCCTGTATATCCTAAAGCTCTGGGATTTTCTGATGGTTTTCCATCTAAGTACCAAATAGGTCTGATGCTGCTTAGCTTCTAATGCCAGATAAGGTCCATTGGGCACTTCCTCTTGCAGCCAATATCACTGAACTAAAAGTGTGTATGGTTTTTTGATATAAGGCAAAGGACAACTCAGCCCTAGCATAGAGCTAGACCTAGTATCTCTGCAGCCAGAATGTGCAGATCTTCAATGTTTGCAATATTTTGTAATCAGTCGTCCTCTGAGAAAGCCATTACAGTTGGATTCTGGATAATGGGAACAGAACACTACCCATAGGTTGCTCCACAGGGAGCCATTTTTTAATATTTACCTACAACACTCTGAGCTCCCTGAGTAACTGTTCTGAAGGGTTACATTCCAAAAGAGTGTGGAAACAGATGCTGGGAAAAGGTGGTAAAAAGGATTGGTGAGAATTACAAACCCTTCTAGATTCTTCAGTGCCACATCTGTGCCGAATTGCAGTCCTTCCGTTTATGCAGGGCCCTGCTCAGTCAAATTCCAACAGTAATGCATATGAAAAGAGGTCAGCAATATTCATATTCCTATTATCCCATATTAATAATTAATTCAAAGGCTTGGACAAATACAAGGGGCTTTGTAAATCTGGCTCTGAAAAGAAAACCGAGTTAGATGTCCCCACTGAAAATTCCCATCTTCAGTCACCGCTGCCCATGATCCGGAAAAGGTTTTGGAGCAGGATATGATCCCATGGATAGCTGCTATTACGTTGCATGCTGATCTAGTCAAGGAAAGGTGCAAACCCTGTGAGGTGAAAGATTTTCTGCTCCTCCTCACCAGGATATGCTCCAAACGAACCATGGAAAGGAGTTACAGTATCCCTGATGAACATCTGTCCAGCCTATATTTGAGAGTTGAAAGGAGTCCATAACTAGAGTTAGGGTCCTACTGTCCTACTGTCAAACTGTGGAATCTAACTTTCTGGCACTCAAACATAATTCATTGGCCAGCACTATGGGACAGCTCACAATTGATCTTGACCCTTTTCTGTGGGGTGTAATTGTATTCCTTTTTCAGTTCTTTTTTTTCTCTCTCAAGGCTAAAGATTCTCAGTTCTTTTAGTCTCTGCTTGTACAATTGTTTCCAGATCTCTGACCAACCTCATTGCCCTTCAGGGAACTCTTTCCAATTCGCATTCTTCTTAAAATATGCCCAGCATTGGAGCAATACTTGAAGTAGGATTTGACAGTCAAGAGCATAAAGTGGATTTTTACTCTGTGGGGTAACTAACTTTCTCAACCCCTCTTATCTTTTTTGTGGGTCCTCTCTTGGATGTTCCATGTTATACCTCCGGGGCGAATGTTGCACCCAGCGATGGCCAAACCGAAGAAGATGTTCTGTACCGAAGGTAACATATTCTTTGTCGCCGTAGTTGTGGTCCCCCCCCCCCCCTTTTCTTCAGCTAGAAAAAGCCAACCAGATGCTTGTGTTAATGAAAAGCAGAGAGATGGGTAAGCTGAATATGGATGAAGGTCCGTTTTGCACAGCATCCTTTTTCCAGAAGCCTCTTTCTGCATCAAACATTGCCAGCCCTGCTAAGTGAAGAGCTGTTGTCAGCTTTTCTACAGCAAGAATACTACGTCGTTGTGAACTTGTTCTAAATTGGAAGCAGGCATACTGAAATCTGTCAGTAAGTCTGGCAGATTTCTGGGCAGGAGAACATATGTTGTGATGTCAGCCTCTATTTCCACTTTTTACGATTACCGTCTATCAATAATATATCACAGTTAATGTGCTGGGAATGATTTAGCACAGATCAAATCCACCCAAAATCTACAAGGAACTTCCTGGAATTTAAAACTACTGGAATAGTTTTTTTTTTTTTAAGGTTGTCTCTCACTTTTGTTCTTCTTTAGCTTCTCCTTGAAACTATAGTGGGGCAAAGTTAATGTATCCATGATGTCATTGTGAAGGTTTGCCAAGTGGAAGAGAAAAGAGCCTTAGATGGGTCTCTTCAAAAGTTGCCGTCAAAGTGACCTGTTTAATGTTGCAGGTGGAGAAAATTTGGGTTTCATTGTGAACTGAATAAATAATTATACTTTGAATTTAATCAAATTTAGGTTTTCTGTTTTTTAGAATGAATGGAAATAATTGTTGGTTTTCTTTTGTTTTATTTTTTTGCGTCGAGTTGGACTTGACCTCCATGGATCAGGTGCTTTCTTTCCTTCTGTCTTTCTGTGGCATTCCCATGTCCTTCTCTTTTTAAAAACAGTTTCTATATTAAGTGCAAAACGTTTGATATCTCCAAGGCTTACTATACCCATTTTGCAGTTGAACCCATTATATCCTGCCAAATGCAGAAAAAAGTCAGCTTTTGGCCACTCCTACTCCTGCCCCAGAAAGATGCTTGTGGTCTGCATGCAATTCTGATCAAAGTAATTGGAGAAAATGGACGCCTCTGAAGAGAGTTCATTAATTGTTGGGATTGTTTTTATAGCTACTGAACTTCTCCATATCACGCACCCCATACCTTCTGCAAAATATAAAGGTTTGCTATAAAAGAAACTGTCATGAAGCCGCGGTCGAAATCTATCCATTTTAAATATTGATCTAGTTCATACATTTTTGTAAAAAGCAAAAGAAAAACTCCTGTCCTAAATGTGCATCATTGATATGATTACAGTGGAACACAATCTTCATGGGTGGAGGGGAAACATTTTTAAAAATGTTTATTGATTTGATTGATTTTTAATTAATAACAAAAGAGAGGAAAAACCTGTGTTTGTTGTATGGATTCTTTATCATTCAACAGGGAAACATTGAAATACCAATTTTTCAATACCTTAACCGGCTTCTGAAAGACACATTTCAAGGTGATTGCACTACGATCAGATATATAACAAACATTAATATTACATTATTGAATTTGGTGATATAACATTGATATTAAAAAATAATCAAGCCTAAAAAATTCTGGTTGCATTTGAATAAAATGTATATTCTCTTTTAGTTAGATACATCATACGCCAGGGGTCTATTAAAATCAGTTCTTCCATATAAGTCTTAATTGTTTCCCTCTCCAATGACTGTTTTTACAGTGCTGGTGTATTTCTGTCAAGCTCAGGATCCAATATTTCATGGAAATCTCTTCGTATGGCCATCTTATCATAAATACACACATTCAAATGTTGAAAACATTCATAAAACATAAGAGGAGAATCTCAACTTGGTCCATAAACATTAACCATAGCTATTGCAGTCTCTGCTATTTTAGCACATAAAATTAAATAACGCCCATCTGCATCAGTGATAACTTCTTGTACATCAATTGGGAATCCTTTCAAAACAAAATGGCCACACTTTTAGCTTTCGTCGAATTATCTGAGAGGTAAACCTGTCCCACCCAATCCTTCATTAATAGAGATTTATCCTGCTCCGTTAAAAATAAGCAATCACTTAGCATATTTAAAATCATATTTAAATGATTTTAAAGATTATATTTTGTTTCTTAGCTTCTCGCAACCCTTTTACATTAAGACTGGGTAGAGGAGAAACTTGATAAAATATATCAACAGTTAAATCTGGCTGTTACCTGGATAGAAGCTTTTGGCCAACTTTATCTGGGTTAGGAGACAGAGTCAGGCCTGATTAGAACTTGGATGCAAGACCATAAGCAAATCTTAGGGCTTTAGGACAGACAGGGAAGTTGAAATAACGCTGTGGAAGAAAGCAATGACAAAGACTTCCATAATGTTGCCATGAAAAAGACATGGATATGTTCACTAGATCACCAGGAGTCAAACTCAAAGGAGACTCTTCCTCTGATCTGCAGAGGAAATGCACATTTTGAGAACTGCTGTGGAGGCGCAGTTGAATTCTATAGAGGCAACGGGATATCATGGTTATTCAATATAGTGGTTAGAACTTTGGGTGAAGACTGGGGAGAACCAAGCTCAGATCCCTCATTAGCACTGAGACTTCCTGAGTGATCTTGGGCTGAGCGCAGTTCCTTGGCTGAAGCTTACTTTACAAGGTCAGCATGAAAAGAAGGGGAAGAAAACGTTGTAGATCACCTTGATAAGTAGTGAATATAATTGTAACCATAATAGTACTTGGTGTAACGATGCTTTTGTTAATTGCTAAAAGGAAGTGGATGAGGACTCTTAGGTTTGATTTGAAATCAAATTTCAGGAAAATCTAAGGAGTTCATCCTGATACACTTATTCTTCTGATCTCTCACATGTTCGTCCTCTCTCTCACTCTCTCTCTCCCCCCTCATTTTCCTTCTACCCTTATGGTCCTCCCTGGCCAAACCCCCTTGATCTTGGAGTTTCCTTTCGTATGGGTGCCCATGTGTTAGTTAGGATTGGTGCTTTGTTTTGCTATTTTAAATGAGATACACTTTTGAAGTCATTTGGGCCAATTTTGGGGTTCTCAACCTTTGGGAAGTCTTTTTGGTCATTCTTAAAAAACAGAAGAGAAGCGTTAGGGGAGGGGGGAAAGAAGTCCTGTGAAGCTTTTTGTCGTTTTGTGTTGCTGTCACTAGAGGGCAGGAAAGTTTCAGCACATCCAACCCAAGCTCACATTGGAGATATGAAAGGATCTCTTAAGAATAAGCTGCTGTGACCATCCGAGAGCCAGTAAAGAATTTCCCAGGAAAAGCAGTATTTCCTAGTTTATTGATTCTGCTGCCACAGTAAAAGGCCAGCATTGTACATCAATAACTATCTTTAGTTAGGAAACACCGAGCCGTGGTGGAAACAGTGCTGGCACTTGCTCTGCTTCTTCCTTCACCCCATTTCCTCCTTCTGCTCATTTTTTTGTGGTGGATCATAAAGTCAACAAAGGAAAAAAAAAAGAGGGCTGGGAGAATACAAGTGTTTTGGGGAGCGATGAGAAGCTATGGAAGAACCAATGGCTTGGACAATATTCCCTCATTGGAATTGTGTTCATATGCTTGACTACAAGTTCTATCAACCTCAGGCAGCCTGCATATTTCCCCAGCTGGTTGCAGGTATGACGTTCAGGAATCAGCTTCATTTTCAGGCACTATCTTTTTCTATCTTTTCTCTCCTCTGCATCATTTTTAAAACCTCACATGCAATTTTGCAAGAATGCTGGATATCACCCTTGCAAGCCCTTTTCATTGAAGTGTGTGTGTGTGTGTGTGTTCCTGGATTTACAGGAATCCCAGAAGCCCTCATAGTCCCACTTTTGTCAAAGTACTGAAAGACTCCTAATTAAGGAACATGGTCTTAGATGTTTACACAAGGTCATCAACTTGCAGATGAGATTTGCGGTGCTTCCCATCTTAAGATCTCAGCTCAGAGGCCCTAACCATCTCCTTGGTAGCCTGAAAGATGAAGTTCTTTTTGCAAAAGCCCTAAGGCTTTTGATATTGTCAAGATCATTGTCTATGCAAGGGTAATTTGGGGGAGAAAGGAGGTGAGCAGTAGTAGCCCTGGGTAGAAAGCATCTCAGAGAAGTTCCCCCTTGCTCCAGTGTGAATTTCTCTACCGTGATTAATCACTAAACAATAAGAAAACTTTCTTAAATATCTCCTTCCTTCCTTGCTTGCTTTCTCTCTCCCCCTCTTTCATACCTTCTCTCAATTTCCTTCCTTCCTTCCTTCCTTCCTTCCTTCCTTCCTTCCTTCCTTCCTTCC